CAAGGGCAAAATAGTCTTTTTCATTAAAATCTAACAGTTGAAAAGTTAGATTTAACGGCAGGAGGACCTTTCATGTAATTTGACAAACCATAGGGACCAGTCGCGTGACTTTTTGCTAGGAAGTCTTCAAAGTGCGATATTTTGTAAACCACAAGGACCAATTATGAAATTTTGTGGTTATAAAAAGATCTATGTTGTTTTTCATTAAACAAATTAGATAAAGATATCCAGATGGATTATCTTTTGTTCAAAAAAAAAAAAAACATCTCGAATGTTTTCTGAACAACATCCATCCGCACTATTTGCCCAATCTTCGTATCTTCTCCTTTCTTTTAGCTTTCTTAGATTGCAACGATTTCAAATGAGTTTAATATAATAAAAAGAAAAGTTATTCGTATACAACAATTTTTATCCATACACAACAATTCATGTTTTATGGAGTTGTACAATACAATATTTTAATACACGAATTGTTGTGTATCGAAAAAAATTGTTATGATTCCCAACAAAAAAAACCATATTTTTGTTTTGGTTCAACCGCAGTGGCGCATATATGAATTTTCTGTTGGAGGTACTAGCAAATACTATATAATTGAGTCGGTCAAAATGCTAAAAATAATTGGATCTTGTCATGATTTTAAAGCACAAAAATAATATAACCTTTAGTTAACCGTGTGAAAACATAATTTTTAACATCATCGAGGTATTTTATAATTTTTTTTTAGAAAACATAATCAAATTCTAACCTACATATTTTATCTAAAATGTAAGTTTACCAACTATTAAAAAAACTTAATTTTTAACCTTAAATCTTTATTTTGACAAAGCTTTTAAAAGCTCACAGCCAAAAATCTTGTTTTTCTTAGTGGGCTTTTAATTTTGACAAATGGTTTCAATTAATTATGTCTATTAATACTAGTATATCAAGAGTCAACCAATCAGGCCCAACACTCCAAGTCCAACACTTTAAAACCCAATTTTCGTTGAGGGCCTCCTGTATTAAAAAAAAAGAAAAAGAAAAAGAAAAAGGATCTAATTTAAATCTACCTGACGTAGAAATTTTCTAACGGATGTTTATGAAAGAAGTAAACAAGATGCCAAACTAATAATATTCGATGTATTAAATCAATAATCTTTAAAATCATTGTACCCATATTGGATGTTTATGAAAGAAAAAAAATCACCTTACAACGTACAATGGTAGAATAACATGTTTTAAATGAAAACAGTTGTATTTGTGCTTTTTAAAATGTAGTTCCATTAAGGATAAGCTAATAATCAATGAAAAAACTTAACCAACAATAAAAGAATCCAAAAACAACCACATATTTATGAAATTACAATAAAATTAGAAACATTGTATCTATAAAAAAACAATAGCATAATTACAAAATAAAAATGAAGAGAAAATGCCACTAATCATAAATGCCACTAATCATATTATCAAAAACTCAATAGTTTAATAAATTTAGTTTCATGTTCATTCAGATTAACTATAATTATATAATAATAACAATAACAAAAATAAATAACAGAGACAATGGAAACATCTTAAAAATAACTAATAGAGACAATGGAAGTATCTTAAGCCTTAACTGTTGAAATAAAGAAACAAATAGCCAAAATCAATAACATAAAATTTAATGAAAAACTTCAAGGAGGAGATATGTAAAATTAGAAATCCACTGATATGGTTGCCTAATCCGATAAATTATACAAATTTTTGGTCGAGAACAAATTGTATATCATCTATAATATATAAACACAAAAATTAGCAAATTAGCAATCCATTAGTAAATCTACTAAGGGGTCGTTTGATATGGTGTCTAATTGGGTCCAAAGAAGGACTGGACCATAAAATACCAATTAACATGTTTGATAGGGATTATAGATATAGGGACTCGGTCCAATATGTGGACTCAGTCCAATAAAAACACCAAACTCGGTCCTTACTTTCAATTTAATTGACTGAGAAAAAAAAAACCAAAAACATGCAAATGAGGTTCTAATTTCATCCCCCCCCCCCCCCCCCCCGATAACCTCCCCTCGACGAAGCAACAAGAGTTCCCTATTGCCAACGTTTTCTTTCTTCAGACTCTCACCTCGATCATTCAAGCATCTCCTCCCACCTCGATCCTCCCTTGCCTTTGTTGTTGTCCACCGCTTTCCAGCGACACCCAACTCCGATGGAACCCCTTCTACAGTCAGACGTCGAGTTTGCTTCTCTTCTTTATCTCCCCCCATTCTAACGAATTCATCCGTTACTCCATCTCTGAGCGCTGCCACACCAACGATTATCTCCGGGCACTAGACATGAGTGCCGCCACCCCAACGCTTTCTTTCTCCAGCAGGTAAGCTTCTATTCTCCATATGTGTAACCAATTTTATTTCTTCTCTAAAATCATCTAATGTTCTATTAAAATTAAATGTTGTAACTGGATGGTTGTTGTTTATTAGTTTTGTGTTTTTGCTCGAATCAATTTGGCTTTAGATGGTTATTTACTGCTATGGTTTGTGTTTTGTATAGTGCGAATTTCTATATCTAGTTGGATGCTTTGTCTTATTGGATTTTGTGCTAATTAACATATATATTCTACAACTCTCCGTATAATTAACTGTTAGATATTTATGCATATGACAATGGTTATCATGTAGAGTCAATTATTACCCGGTTAATATATAATCCGCATCATTATTGATGATTCATAAATCTGAATATATTTAATCGATTGTATAACAATGTGAAGAAAACCTGTAAATTGTATATCAATGGAACAGACTACAGATGTGGAAAAAAGCAATGACTGTTTTTGAGTTTCTTGATTTAATTGGAAAAACAAGGTGTGAATTTGGATGTTTATTTTTGAATTCTGACCTTTTTTTTTAACTGCATTTAACCCTTAAAAATTAAATCAATGAATTAATTCCCTACTTCTTATTTTTATGATTTTTTTTCTAAATATTTAGGTTCGAGAGGCATAACTATGGAGACATTTACCAAATTTGGATGTTCCTGAACATGAACTACAACAACAAGGCCAAGTGCAGAATGACATTCGTAAGAACCCTGTTTACAGATCACAATTCCATGAGATATTGAGATGTGTGCAAAAGTGCAGAATGCTCAAAAACCTTATTTCGAGTAGTGTTGTCATTAATTTTATAATCCTTATATTACTAAAACAAAACATTAAAAAAAATCATTGCAGATCAAGAAAGATCAAGTATCTTGAAAATCCTAACTTGAAAAAACATATATAGATGGTTATGCATACATCATATTTTAAACAAACATGGGCTGTTGGGCAATGATAAAATTGAATTCAATGAATATATATCAAGCACTAATTAGAAAATCAGTTGATCAAAAGTAAGGGTATGTAGGTATTGTGCATTTATAAAGAATGTAATCTTATAAATTAAATGGTAAATCATAAAGAAATTATTATAAAAAATGTTGTTTGAGGGTAATATAGTAATTTTGCACAGTCAGTCAGATGTAAAATCAAACAGCAAGTTTTAGTCAGAAATTAACCCAGTCAGAACTTCTAACACAGTCAACTTCTAATCTGTAATCACTGATCAAAAACAGTATTGCAGCTTTCAATTCACCCAACATCCCATAACCCATTCATAATATTGAAAGAAATCAAAAGCAAATGAAAAAAAATTAAAAAATAAATAAATTAATTTAAAAAAAGTCAATAAACTTACAATGGGCAAGAGTGCAAGACTTTTAGTT